ACAGGTGCCACCTTGTATAGAACTGAAAATATCACTTGGTCTCAACAATGTGTTCTTGTTTTCAGCACAAGTGATAAAGTAACTAACATAGTCAAACAGCAGCTTCTTTCACACCGCTTCAACAGTGTGAAGCACACACTCGTCGCCACTGTGTTCTTTTGGTAAATCACACAGACCAAACACTAGCAGCTCAGTGTCACGTTGGTGTCTACTGACACACAGCACTATCACACGTTCCAGGCTCTGTGTGACAATACAAATGACGTAGCACACAGTTTATGTTGCTTTGTTCTACACAAATACACACCAATTTGTTTCAAAAGTCAATAAAATAATAAAAATGCAAAATACAGAGTTATTCATCCATCCATTTTCCTCCATTTGCTCAAGGATGGGTCACGGGGTCACCAACCTACAGAAAATGTATACATCCCATCCGCTCGGCTGCAGAGTCGTGCACGTGCATTGGCGTTTTTCCTTCTGACTTTTCCGTTCCTGTGGAGTGTTGCAAGACAATTCCCTACCAGGACAACCGAGGACGAAACGCTATTCTAGGGGCGTCCTGCCACTACTGCAGTCATGCCTCCAGTCCACGATAGTGTATTTATTGCTGTGTTTTTGCATTTTGGAGACTTTTTGACTATTAAATTTGTCCCTCACTCTCTTCATTCTGTCTCAACGTCCAAACCCACAGTTTCCATCATTTCTGTCCGCCAACACAAAGTTTGCTGCGTATCTTTGTACTCCTTTAGTCACAGATTTACCAGCGTTTATACCAACTGACTTTTACTCCAGAGGTTCTTCAATCTGCTGGGTCTGCTGCTAAATAGGTTTGGCATTCATTTTATTTTTTTAGTGGGGAACGGTGGTACTCTTGATAAATGTTAAAGAATGGGCATCCTGACCAATCACAGTCTTGCAGTCTTCATGTTTTCTAAGGACAGTAAAAAAAATGGGACACGTCTCTGTCACCCTCTGCAGGTCTGACAAGGAGCACTTCTGGCGATGCATCATGGCGTTGGTGTCTCCTCACCTACGCACATGGAAACATATAAATCAGGCTCAAGCAGAGAGGCCCAGATTTCCCTCTCCCCAGCCACATGGGTCGGCTCCTCTGGGGGAGGTGTTCCCAGGCCAGCTGAGAAACAGTCCCTCCGGCGTGTCCTGGGTCTTCCTTTAAGTCTCCTCCCCGGTTGGATGCAAGGGCGCAGATAGGATTTTCAAACTGGGGGGGACAAAGATGTCAGCGTTCCAATGTACTCTCCCCCGAAAAAATACACACACACACACGCATACACAAACAACGGCAAGAGCCTTAACTAGAGCTCAGACGGTTTGTGTAATTTCATCTAATGATTTACAAAAACACTTTTATATTCGTGTTTGAAGCCATTATGCAATGGAACACTGGCAACAAAGCTCTGCCTGATCAACACTATCCACGTCAGTCATTTGTTATTCTCCCAATCAATTACCAACCAACACATGAATTCCAAAATAATAACAGAGTCACTACGCATGACTTAATCACAAGTAAGTCCCAACACTGACAACGCAATGTAGGCGCAGCAAGCTTTTTTAATGTGTAGGTGTTGATATATTATACACTTCAACAACAAGGTGTGCATCGGCACCAAAGAGCAGACAATACAAATATCAGAGTTAAAAAAGATGAGGAGTATTAAACTACTCTTGGGGGGCCGGGGGCATGCCCCACCTGAAGAAAATGTGGGACATTTTATATTTAAAAGCATCAGTCTGGTGCATTTTGAGAGAAATAAACTAGAGTAACATGCTGGTGAGAATAAAGTATCTCTACATGTTCATGGTATTATAATATTATACGTGATGGATTATAATTCCTGTCCTGTCTTTGATCTATTATGAACACCGACTACAGCGAAATCCTCTGATGCATCCATGCTGCTCAGTGCCAGACCTGCATGATGTCACTTGTTACTAAAGAGCCAATCAGCTGGCAGAGCTGCTGGTGAACGTGTGATCATACAGAACTTGCAAAACTATGTGACTTAATTTAAGGAAGAAAGCAGAATCCAGCTGCTGTTATTGATTTGTTGTTGTTGTTTATAGAAACTAAATCCATCTGCAGGGCTTTAGGCCCAGGGCAGAGTTTTAGACCTCAGACCAAACCACATCCAGACCTGTTCCTGTTATTAATAATATTGTGTAATATTTACACCAATTAGATGCTCACAGACACCCAAACCTTAGAAATGAAATAAAATAAATATTAAAATTAAAAATGATTAACATTGTTTCTTCATTAAGTTGCGGATAAATGGCAGATCCGGGCCAGTCTGAATCTGGGGGGACAGATCTCCCTCGTCCCCCACCCTATCGGCGCGTCTGGTTGGACGTGCTCAGAAAGCCTCACCAGGGAGGCGCCCAGGACGTATCTTAACCAGATGCCCGAGCCACCTCAACTGGCTCCTTTAGATGTGGAGGAGCAGCGGATCTACTCTGAGCCCCTCCGGAATGACTGAGCTTCTTACCCTATCCATAAGAGAGAGCCCAGACAGCCTGTGGAGAAAACTCATTTTGGCCACTTGTATCCATGATTTCATTCTTCCGATCGCTACCCAAAGCTGGTGACCAGAGGTGATCGAAGGAACATAGATCCTCCAGCAAATCTACATTTTTTTCAATTATTTTATTTCACCCTGATAAGCACTCTAACGAAAACAAAGTCCTCACACCATTTATGTTTAAAAACATTGATATTGTACACAGTTTGTTTCATTCCATCTTCTCCACTCACACATTTAGCATATAGGTTCTGTAGTTTAAGGTTTTAATGCAGCAACATCAAATCTGCTGTTAACCTGATTCAGTGGTTCAAACGTTCCAGCTTTTTACCCACAACATAGCGATTGTCAGGAAACGTGATCACACATAACTCTGATTTGACAAAACAATTTGTGCGTAAAAAGACAAACAATTCAAGGCATTAAGAAAAACGCTTCTCATATTCACTTATATCCATTTGTGACAATTAGGCTGGGAATAGCTTCAGTAAAATTTGTTTTTCACTTTTGCTATTATTTCTGAAAATCCTCTAAAGACCACCTGTGTGGTTGTTAGTGACCCACAGTGGGGTCCCAACCCTAACTTTGGGAACCCTGAATGAGCCCTAACCAGTAGCGGTTTTAGGCACGGGCAGACAGGGCAGTTGCCCGGGGCGGCATTTTTTCATGACACAAAAGGGGCGCACAAGCGCTGAGTAAAAAAAAAAGGAAATCTGCGCCGCACCGAGGTTTTCTATTATCTGTCATATGACAGTGTCTGGATTGGAAACAGCAAGTTGGCGCCCCCTGCAGCTGCAGGCGCTCCTGCTGACTGAGAACGTTCAGGTGCTTCGTGTGTCTATGAAGAACAGGAAGGGGAGGGGTGCGGCGGGGGAATTCACCTCTGCGTCTTTCCCAAATGAAATGAGAGGGTAGGGGCTGAATCAACTGTATTAACATGGCTAAAATCAATCACATCTTAACGTTCTTCCATATTTCATTCATAATATCATAAACACAGGCCTTCTTTCAGGTTTCTCTGAATTGTGTGAAATGGCCGAATAAAAAAAGGAAAAACAAAACGATTTTGTGGTCACCCCCCCATCAAGGTCAAATTGTTTAGTCCTGACTAAAGGAAACTTACTGAGTCAGGAGCCAAACAGAAGAGATGAACATAAAAAGGCTAAAACCACCAGGTGCCCCCATTCAGGGGGGAAAAAAAAGAAAAAAGAGCAGAAAGATAAAGGTATGTAGCTCTCATGATGCATGTTTTCAATTTTTTTTAGGATTTGTTAAATGCTCACTGCAGCCCATGGCCTGCCTGAACAACAGCAAACACATGTTGATCATGTTCACATAATAATAAATAAAACAACTGTACAAGCAGAAGAAAACTCCCCAGTCACCACTAACTATCCTGTTTATTTATTGCAGATGGCTGCACTGATTATTTTTTACATGATTTGTTCTGTAAAAGTTGGCATTTTTGGTAGTCTACAGTTATTTTATGTCAGTTTAGATTACAATTTCAGAGGCAATTCTAAAATATTATGGATCATGAGATCTATTGGAGATCTACCCCAACTTTTGGACTGCTCTGCCAGTCACTGTGGCTCAAGCTGAGAGGAGCTTTTCAAAACTTGATCAAGTCATACCTGAGGTCAACTATGTTTCAGGGGCGGCTCACTAACCTGGCTCTGATTAGTATCAATCACTCAGTAGGGGAGCAGATTTCATGTGATGACATTATTGATGATGTTGCATCAAGGTTAGGTTTTAATTTTAGTTTGTGTTTTCTGTTCTAAGTGCAGTGCTGTGTGATTATCTTTAGTTTGTTACGTGTGAAATATTTTTGCTATTTAGAATATTTATTATCTATTATTATCTATTATGTTCATATATTCTTAATATTTAGTTATTGTTTGTTTTTGTATATTTGATTCTATATATTTTGATACAGTATATAATGCATAGTGCTTTACATTCTGACAACTTCATAGTAATTAATGTAAATATGTGCAACTTAGAAAAATGAATGTTCAATAGTCGTTCTAATAAAACATGCCTGTTTGTAGAAAACATGAGTGTGTTCATGCAGGTGGGGTGGTGTGGTGGTGGTGGTGGTGGTGGGGGGGGGGCTCAAAGGGGGCCTCGCCCGGGGAGTAATTCGATGTAGAACCGCCACTGGCCCTAACCCAGCCTCTCAGATGATAGCCATAATGTTATGGTAGAGTGATACCTTCAACCTGAATCTGTGCTGAAATATAGAGTATTTGCTTCAATAACAATAAAGGATTGGTCGGATATTTCATTATGTTACACCTTGTTTTAGATTCAGTTTTATTCTCCGCCCGCGCGCCTAGGCTGTGATAAAGCCAGCTGGGCCGGGAGGAGGACAGGTGTCGACGGGCTGGGAGCAGGGATGGGCCGAGGGACAGCGAGGGGAGCGGAGCGGAGGGGAGGGGGGAGAGGGAGTCGCCATTACCGCTTGGCAGTGCTGCTGGAAGGCTGAGGGAGGAGGAGGGAGCTCGCAGAGCCAGGTTTCAGCTTTCAGCAGCGCATACCACACCAGCAGCGCCCGAGTGCGCTCACATACGGGTTAATCGTCCTTTTGGGATTTAAGTGGACCCGACCTGCGAGGAAACCCGAGTTCGGATTCTGTCGACAGGCTCCAGTGTGCGCAGGTTGTGGACCGTGAGAAAAAGGAGACTTTGCCAGTGAATGTGGGAACGCTTCCTTCTGTTTTCCGTGGTATGTGGATCTGGGAGCGACCATGTTATAGGTGGGTAGGGGAATGCATCTGAACTGACTTCATCGTGCGCTCAGCTAGCTCTCTCCTGCCGCTGAAAACGACACACACGATGGGCCCATGTCGGGCCCAACCGGGCCAGTGGGGCGTGTGACCCGGGCTGCTGAGCTAGCCTACTTTAGGCTTTTTACTCGGGTAATCTGAGTGTGAGCTGACGCTAGCTACATGCTAACTCACCCTGGTATGCTAGGCTAACAGTGTTCGGCCAGCTAACGGGATTGGAAAAGGTGGATCCCGCTCCCCCCGGATTATCGGGGCCAAACCGGAGCGAACCAGATCAAATCAAATATATATCATAAATCATATAACACATCTGTAACGACTTCTCTGACGCATTAACGTCACACGAGCGTCCAGTTGAACTAACTAGTCTGGGATTCCCACTCGTTTATGTGTACGTACCCTGTTACAGCTGTTTTAACCAGTAATCCCTCAGATTCCCTGGAGAGGGCTCGTCTAAACCGAGCCGCACTCGGGTTTAAATTAGTGGGTCATCCAAGTGTCCGGTTAGGAAGTTCCAGGGTGTCTAACCAGGTTAGAGGGATGGACAAATTCATGTCTCCCTCTTGGGAGCATTATCGAGTTCTCCCGTCATGACCCAGGATTTGTTTACACTCGGGTCATTTAATATCAGAGCAGTGATTGAGCCTCTCTTTACATTTAAAGCGGGGCACTGGGCTTGTCCCACAGCCTCCAACTTGGGCCGAACCGGGTCGTTCTGGGCCGAGCCTGCTACTGCAGCCCTGTCTGCTTTTGTCCCAAACTCCCAGTAAAGGACTAGTCTGCTGTTTTATTCCCAAAGCCGTTTTCTGACCTTCCAGAAAGTCATCGGCTCAGCTGAGTTAAACGGATTATAAAGTGATGCCGTTATTAGTTCAGCTGGCCCCATCTGAGGTTTATTTGCTGCTAACTGACGACTTATCATCCCACTAAAGTGTCCATTAAAGAAGATGAAGACAGGCTGACTGGATGATTTGTTGGGACTCGTCCTTCGTCCAGCTTTTTGATCAGGAACCGTCATCATCACACTCCGCAGGTTGACAGCAGAGGATGCTCGAGCAAAGCCAAGCCCACAAAGCTTCGGTGTTCCTGTTATTTTTACTTTATTGTAGATTTTTGACAGATGTCCCAGCAGCTAGGGCAGGAGCATCCCCAGCCCTGTGAGTGATGGCAGGGTGATGGAGTCATGTGACCTATAAACTGTTGTTCTTACATCATCAACACTGGGAAGGGGATTCAGATTTATGATGCTCAGCCTCACATGTGACCCTGACCTCACGACCAAAGCACTGTCCACACTTGTTTAACAGAGCTCATAATATTTATTTGTAGCTTGAGTTCGGAGTTTGTTTCACAATTCTGAAATAATACGCATGACTAAAGCTCGAGTGGAACTCCAGTGACGCTTTAGGTGGGTCGGTTTATACAGAACAGCTGTTATTATGCATCAATAAGCATTTTACAACACTTTATTAGGGTGAAGCAGTCGGTTGCACTGTCACCTCTCAGCAGGAAGGTTGCTGGTTCTAATCCCAGCTGCAGCCTTTCTGCATGTTCTCCCATGCATTTTCTCCAGGTACTCCGGTTTCCTCCCTCACATGCTAGGTGAACTAACTGCATTGATTTATCCACAGTTCTGAGCTGCTTTGAGTTAAATGTCTGATAAACAAACAAACATGCTCCTCTGCACGTTACTGGTAACGGTCGGTAAAGCTGGTGGAGAGAGCCGAATAAAATGAGTATTTATGTCTGTGTTTGAGATGGTTGGTGTTTTGCTGCAGGGTTCAAATGCTTTCTTCCTGAAGGGGAGCGCCTCTTTTAAAGCAGCCGTAGCGCTTTGTAGTGCTGGAACCCACAATGGTAAAGGACTCGTATTTGATATGAGCCTACTAGTCCTCTACAACCCCCCAAGATCCTTTACAACACAGTTATTCACACACACACACACACACACACACACACACACACACACACACACACACACACACACACACACACACACACACACACACACACACACACACACACACCATTCATTCCTGGTGATGATGAGCTGCATTGTAGTAGGGCCTGACCGATACCGATATAAAACTTTTAACAAAGGCCGATAGCCGATATAATGGCCGATAAATCTCCCTCACAAAAAAAATACAAATGTTCTTAAGATTAAACCCTTCATTCTCTGCCTTTTTGATGCTAACTTATTTCTATATTACACACCAAAGAACTGTCTCAATAACTCACCAGGGTTTCCAAGTAATGCAAATAAGATTTATTTTGCAATCTCAAAAACAACAGAACACACAAACTCAGTCAGTATAAATCTAACGTTAAAGTTTTTTTGTTTTCTGAGTCTGTGGAGTTTTACACTTTTGTGTTTTGATCCTCTCCAAAGCCGACAGTATTAGGAAAATAAAAATAAGATACGTTAAATGACTAGTATGTGGCAATGTATAAGCCTTATGTAAAATATAAGGCTGAAAAAATACAATAGATTTATTCTGTTGCAAAGAGGAATGTTTATTTTCTCGTATTACCGCCCCTACTACTCTCCCAGCTAGGGAGAGGAGGGGGGACTCCCTACACAGCGTTTCATTGCTTTGTTGCCAACCCCCCCTCGCCCGTCCTCTGCTGCGACAACGGTCGTGTGCCGCCGAAGCGCCGCGAAACGGGGACCGCCTTCATTCGTCGCCCTTGTTATCCTATTCTATAGGCCACATGGGCTGCCGAAGCGCTGCGCGCCGGCGCTCCGCCCGCACCGTGCAGCGATCGTTTCGGCGTCTGTACTATTTTTTTCGCGAGCCGCGGGTGAACCGCGTGAGTTTGAAAAGACTGCTGAAGAAGAGCGGAGGAAATTGTCTGAGAATATTCCAGAATGTCTACCAGAAAAAGGCCAATGTTACTTACTTACTGCCCTGCATGACTGAAGGGGAAGCAGCGTGAGCTCTGCATAGAGCGTAATGCTGCGGCAGTTTAATTTATTTTTTCAGGTTAACTTTTCAATACGAGGCCACGAGGCACACAATAAACTTAGGAAGCATGTTGAGGGGAAACATACTTTTGTCATTGCTTATTTTACCGTTCAACTTACCACTGACACAACAAATATGCTTAAAACTGAAGACTTACCTCCTACTTCCTCATCACCGTCGTCTCTGCTGCTGCTCCGCTGCATGTGTGCTGTGACTGTGACATGAGTTCATAAAGCTGGCGCCATCTGCTGGATAGGTAGCGCAATATCGGCCATATCGGCCGTCTTTTTGGCCGATAGCCGATAGTGTTACTGACCCCTATATCGGCCGGCCGATATATCGGCCGATAATATTGGCCGGCCGATATATCGGTCGGGCCCTACATTGTAGCCACAGCTGCTCTGACAGAGGCAAGGCATGTCTTGCCCAAGGACATGACTACCACAAACGGGGGTCAAACCTGCAACCCTCCGGTTATGGGGCGGGGACTTAACTTCTCTGCCATCGTTGTCCATTTTTTGAATTAGTGCCTTTGGGGAAAACGTGTTTTTCTGTAGAAGGTCCATATAAACGTGACGGGATGGGTTAATCGTTGACGGTGTGCTCTGCTGTTTGAGGGCTTAACATCATTTAGTCATCTCTAAAACCAGCTTGCCAAGTGATACCTTAATCCCTCCCTGCAGCCTCAGCGTGATGGGAATAATCATGATGCTCGAGCCTACTTTTAGCCATTAGTGCAGCACAAATGTAGTGTGGGCTTTGGCGGTGGCTGTTGGTATTAAAAAGTCCATCATAAGCTCCCTCCAGGAGGCTCCCAGCATGCTGCTGCTCGTATGTTTCTGCAGGTTAACGTTTAAGCTGCAGACTCACACGGAGCCTGTGTGGTGCGAGAACAGCAGCTGTACACTGTTCAGTGGCAAAAATGCAAAACTGATGCTTTAGTTGGATTTTTCTAGATTTTTAGTTAAAACAGGAATTGGTGGAAACGAGTGTCCCTGAATATCCTTGACAGTTGTAAACGAAAAGCAAACTTAAAGATAAATACGTAAATGTTGCTGTCTCTGTTCTGTTAGCTTGTTGACAGCTTTTATTTATTTTCCACCTGGCTTACAGATATTATTGAGCTGTGACGTTTCTCATAAACAGGCATCGCTCCGTTATTCCTTTACAGCAGAAACTACAAAGATGTCGTCAGCTCAGGAACGGCACTCGTTTGAAACAGCTTTGGAATCAACTGGATGCTTTAGACTTTGGCTTTTCTTTGACTCAAGAGCAGACGGATGCACTTAAGTCCTTTATTTAGAAAAGGATGCATTTGCTGCTTCTTTTATGGTGTATGGTGGTCTGTCCTATTGACTGACTTCAATAGCATGGAATACGTGACATTGTTCTTTGCTCTGATTGGACCTACTACTGTCCAGCTGTGTGCGTAGACGGTTTGAAAGACACCTCTATATTCCACCCACAGCTGAGCCCTGCCTACGGGTCGTGGCCAGACTAGATTTTCATATCTTGCCAAGCTAGACGGTTTTACCTTCAGAATCACAGTTTTGAAGCGCATCACAAATATGTTGCTCTAGGAATGTTTAAGAGGGACATCCGTCTTTTCCAGATCATTCAGTTTCAGTTTCAGTTTTATTTACATAGCGCCAAATCACAACAAGTCGTCTCAAGGCACTTCACATAATAAACATTCCAATTCAGGTCAGTTCATTGAGCCAATCAGAAATAATGTTTCCTGTATAAGGAACCCAGCAACCCAGCCCTCTCAGGCTCAAAATAAGTTTTGATAAAAGGACAAACAACTAAGTCCTTCAGGGGTGCTTCTGAGTTAAAAAAATGCTCATGAAATACGTGTGTGGAGTAGCCAGGTAGGCAGGTTTTAATGCTGCTAATCTGCAACGCCTGCCTCCAGAGGGTTAAGTCAAACATGTTTTGCTTACAACTGCAGGTTGAGGTTATCTAGATGCACTATCACAGCCATGCTGAACACCATGGCGG